GCAGTTTGACGTTTGGTAAACTTTTTGTTAAAAGTGTTGTTGGTATTGATTTTCGCATAATCAAAAAATAATTGCCGCATAATCATTAAACCCAACGCCTCTTCGAAACTAATTCCTGCATAATCAGAAAATGAAAGCACCTCATTAGTTGTTTTCCCTTATAGCTTTCTCTCACATCAATTTTTAACAATAAATGATTTTCTCACAGTTTACCAAACAGGCTAGGCTTCCCAAATTTTTTTAAAAATCACTTATTACCCTAAATAAGCAAATGCCAAATGGGTACTTAGCATTCAGTTTGCCAATCATCAAACTACCTTCCTTTACAATTGATTTCTCTTACAGCAAATTTAAAAGTGATTATTTTCACAGCACATCAATGCCAAATTAGCCCTAAATGTCTTATTTTTAGCTTATGTTGTCTTGATTTATAAGAAATTAACTTAATGGAATACCCATTAAATTCTTAGAACCACCAAATTAGGAATGTGTCAGTTCAAAACCGCCAGCTCTACCCAAACCTCTTGGGCCCTGGCTCAATCTTCTCGTCCAAAAGCCAAGTTCCATCTATCGCAACAAAGTGGCAAGGGACTTCTACGTATTAAATTATTTTAGTCAGGTTTTATTTATTTATTTATCAATCTTATTAACATTTCTTTTCTTAATTTGAAAGGTATAACAATTTGGAATCTCCCTGACCTTGTTGAGAAAAAAATTCTTATTTTTTACTTTTGAAATAAAAATTCTAGTAATAGCTCATGAACTTATGCTCGAGCTATACTCTAGTCCTTGAATTAAAATTTTAGAAGCAATAATTCTTGGTCATTCGAATGGTATGTGTGTGGCCAATTTTTCAAAGGTATAACTATTACTTAAAAAAAATAGGAAAATCTTTTTGGTTCACCTCAACATTCCTCACTTGTCTAACGGTTATTGTGGTTTCATTACACGTGTGATTATTATAACAACGTCTTTTTTGTTTTCAGTCATTCCTGGAGTAATTTTTCGTATTGGAATCACAAATATCCATCCTGAACTTGGTACTAAGCATGGAAACAAGCAGGTTTGGGGCCAGGTATGACAATACCATCCCTGTCTCCGCTCCCTCATCACTGGCCCTATTGATACCAAATATCAATTAGGCCCGCCCAAAAGAGCTCGAGAGACTTAGGGTCAAACCACTTGAGGAAGTGATTGGACCAAATGATTGGTAGGCTAGGACTAGCCTTTTTTTTACGTTGCCCAGGCCCAAACAAGTAAAGAAAGGCCGCCCAGGCCCAAACAGCAACCAAACAATTGTGGCCCAGCACACCATCCTAGGAGTCTCACCCCAGGAGACTCATAAGTATGCTTGCAATAAATACACATAGCCTTTGGAAGAATAGTCTCATCATCAAGTTTTTGGTCACAAACTTTAAAATGTTTCCAAACTTCAGAAGTTTTTTTTCTTTTTTTAACCTCAGTTTGATCAATGTTTTCTTCTTGAGTGTTTGATTCAAGAGACATCACAGCATGCATAGGTTGCTCCACATCATTAGAGGTTAAGTTATTTTCATGATTAGGCATGTCATCAGGATTAAGATGTTCAAAATTATTATCATAATGCTCACCAAAATCAATATAATCTTGAGGATCCATTAACCAGAAAAATTAAATAAATACCTCCCTTTGTGATTACAGAATCTCCAGAAAAAATCTCAAATACCTCGAGGATCCATTTCAGCTTTCTGTCAAAATATATTCTCAATGAGGTTAATGTGTTGAGCTTTTTGTACAGAGTCTGTTAATTATATTAAGAAAAGAATGGTTGAAAATCCAAACCAGATACTTACCATTCAATTAGAACCCAGAAGGTAGAATCTGCAAAACCCACACCAAAAAATCAAAAAATTTAGACTGTTGTTTTGATAAATAATTAAAAATAAAAATAAAAACAAGATCAAACCCTACAATCAATGTTTCTCACAAATTTTGAGCAACCAAACATAGAAACTATATGTTAAAGCTCTTACCTTGCAAATCCAACTCTGTAGAATTAGAGAATTGGTTCTTGCTGATCAACAGAAATTGACACACAAGAAAGAATTCGAGGTTTCAACTTTCAACGAGTCCAACTTCCAAGTTTGTTTTTATTATTTTATATTTTATTTTCATTACTCAATTTTTTATTTGTTATCCCAACTTTTTTTTTGTCTTAAAAAAATGCAATAGAGGATTGAAGCGGGCTCGGGCTCGGGCCGTGCTTGAAGCGGGCTCGGGCTCGTGCCGTGCTTGAAGCGGGCTCGGGCCAAGTCCATTTAATTTCGGGCCACGGGCCGGCCCGGTCCATTGGACCTTTTTTTAAATCCCAGCCCGGTCCAAGCTTTCGTACCGTGCCGAGCACGGCCCACTAATATTCGTGCTCGTGCCGTGCCGTGCCTCATTTAAACGGGCTGGGCTCGTGCCGTGCTGGACCGGCCCGTCCCGTTTGACACCTCTACTCATAAGCATTAGAAGCAAGGCACACGACGTATCCCACCAACGTGCGATGATCCCAATAAGGAAGGGAACATGCGCCATCCATTCAAATCTAAGGACGCCACATCATTAAAGACCCAACAATCCTACATCAAAAAAGAACGGAGAAGAGGTCACATCTTCCCAATATGAAAGTTGACTGAGGTAACTAAACTCCCCTTTAGACTTAAGTACAATAATTTTTCAAACCTCATATGAGGAAGGAAGCTGACTGAGGCATCGGAGGGTGGTTGGTGGATCCACTACCACCACCTCTTCAATGGCCATTGCATGTCTCCATTTCAGGGGATTGTTGCCATTTTCCACCATGCTTGACCGCCCTAAGTGCAATGAGAAGTCTACTGACCTCCAACACTCAAGTATACCCTTGAGTAAAGGTTGACTAGGTTTTAACACACTCTGAGGGCATGTTTACGTATCAATAATGAGTATGTGAGGAAAGGGAATGATTTCCATTCCTAACTTCCCCTGCGTTTACTTGCAATCAGGAATGAAAAATAAATGGGCCCCACCTCAAAATCCGTAATCACATCCCCTAAAAACTGGGTATCATATCACCTAGATGGGAGTAGTCGATACGATTCCCATTCCTGTTTTCTCTTAATAACTTCCAAAAATACCTTTACTACTTTACCATAATTCCAAAAAACCCCAAACCCTAAAAAAAAAAAAAAAAAAAAAACTCACGTCAAGAAGTTTCAAGACGCTCCAACTTCTTTTTCACGTTATCGTTGCAGACAAAACCTCCCATAAGCAACAACAATGCCTTGTGCTATGTAAATCATTCTATCTATCTATCTTCTGTCTTCACATTCATCACACAACATAGTACGGTCATAGATAAAAACTTTAGTGGAGATTATATATCTTTATGCAGGTTATTATTATTTGATTGTTTACTAGTTACGTAGGTGAAAGATATATATTTATTGGAGTTTATTTTTTCGTTTGAAATTGACTCTTGACAAAGGTGTTATTAACATTATCATTGAACTGGCCTCTTGCTGTTCATCTTGTTCAACATATTGATTCCTCATGTTTACACCGCCTTACTAGTTTGCTACTGGATTAGTTTGGTCTCCTTAGCCAATTTGAGAATTATATATGTGCTGTGGTGAAAATGTGCAGGGCATTTTAGTAATCAAATTAGTAATCAAATTAATTTGGATTCTGATTCATGAAAATTAGTAAACAATAACAATGGGAATCAACCCCATTCATTTGCTAATTCCATATGTTTAGTAAACAGCTTAATGGAAATGATTCTTCCCATACCGATTCAGTAGTTCCCCGATTCCTAAATTCTCTGATTCCTTACTTTTTCCATTACTGATACGTAAACATGCCCTGATTGATGGTGCAAAAATATGCATAAACAACCCCCTTCCCTTAAGAATTTCTAAGGAATCCCATCCCCATTGGGGGCTACTTCCCAAACATGCCCCAAATCCATGATTTTTTATTAAAAAAATATTCATCCTACATTATATATCGTCACCATAAATTATCATTCAACTCAATTACATTTACTATTATATTACTTATCAGATCGGGTTTGGAAATTGGGATAATAAATACCATCCTCAACTTGTTCTCGACCAAGGATATTTAAAAATTGGGGAGCCCCATATTCGCCCTCGATTTTCCCCCGAAATCTTCCCCTATTAGGGTCAGGGACCAGATGATGACCCGGGCCGATGGGAATTTATGTCATCCTTACTTGGTGCTCTATTGTGGTGTAACCACAGAGAAGAGCTTTCAAATTTTTATTCTTTTTTCTTGAGATAAAATGATTGCAAGTTTCGGATTGGACTAGCAAAATGTCCAAATTTCTCTCCATTTAAAAACTCATTATCAAACACCATCGACAACCACAATTTCAAGTTTTGGTTTTAATTATCTCCCTTAATTAGAGTTGGACTTTCTTTTTTCGGAAAATATGCTTTATCTATATATATAAAGCAAAAGGCAGAGAATGATGAAATATTCAAAATACCAGAAAATGCCCTTGATTAATTCAAACATTAAGAATTGAAATTATTAATTAAATGAGGATAATATGGTAAATTCACATTTTTTTTCATATTAAAAAAAATAACAAAATCAGATAATAGGTACTACTTTTATGGAACATAACTACCCATATTGTCTTTTCTTAATTTTTTTTAACAAAAAAAATAAATTCAATTGACACATGCGTGAGAGGCTAGTTAAAAGAATAGAAGCACATAAAGAGTATACGGCGGATTTGAAGAAATCATCCGAAAACCAACGTGAGGGCCGGGAAGAATTGACGAAACTAATTCGGTTGACTGCAGGTTTAAATATTTTTTTGAAAATCAGTTAGTAAACCTCCCGTTTAGCGGTTGGTTCCCTATTCAGAACCGGTTTTACATAATTTTATTTATATTAACACGTGTCATCTTGATAGTTGAACTTATTCTAAGCTACCGTGTAACCTACTACATGAGATCACACAAACCCGGTCGATATATTTACCTTAGTCGCGCCGCCTCACTCGTCCTTCGTTTCTGGCTCTCTCTTTCCCTTCTCAGTCGAACCCACACGACCAATCTCTCTCTTCTCTTCAGCTGATTCTTCGTGCGCCGCTGCCGCTGACCCCGTTCTCAGGTAAGCTCGTCGACCCTTTTTCAGTTTTCAGTGTTCATCTTTGTTCGGGTCTTTATCTGCCTTCTGGGTTTTCGGGGTTTCTGGATTGAAGGGGTTTGCTGGATTTATATGTTTATGTAATCTGCATACTTGTAATATAATATTTCTTGGGAAATCTGCATGCGTGAAATCTCTGTTTTTGGATTTGTGTAATCTGCATGTTTGTAAACTCTGTTTCTGTTGTGTTTTGGGCAAGTCCTAATTTGTTTCTTATCAGATTTCTTAGTGTTCAAACAGAGCATGCTGCATTTATTACACGTTTCGCTGAATAATCAAACAGAAATCACTTTTATGAATTGTGAGAGAATTTTGGCATACTGAAAAGTTATAACAATTCCAAATAAAGGCTACGAATTTGTGAGAGAATGTTGAAATAAAAGCTAAGAATTTGGGATTTTGAGTCTGCCCATGAGGTAAACACTATTTGAATACTAACGAATCTGATATGAAAATAGTAGAAAGAGATGTCTTTTTATCTTGAGTTGCAGTTTTCTAAGCTCCTGTTTCTGGTTCAGCCACTAAAGGAGAGAGCCGTACATGGGAGACCTCACAATTACCTCCAATGAGGACCAAAAGGCCGCCAAGCTACCCATCCCTGGAAAGCGAAACATCCTGATCACCAGTGCCTTGCCATACGTCAACAATGTCCCTCACCTTGGCAATATTATTGGCTGTATACATCATTCCCTTATTTTGTTTCCTTCTAATTTCTGGGAACCAAACAGATTCTTTTAATTTATTTATGTATTCTTTTGTTTTGTTGGCAGGCGTGTTGAGTGCCGATGTCTTTGCCCGCTACTGCCATCTTCGAGGCTACAATGCGGTTTACATATGTGGAACTGATGAGTACGGCACTGCGACAGAGACAAAAGCTATGGAAGAGAAGTGTAGCCCCCAAGAGATATGTGACAAGTAAGTTTTCCAGTGAAATTTATATAATTTGGTAAACTTAAGTTCTATTTGTTGTCTTTGATTTATTGAAATTTATTTCAAATTGTTGTGTTCTTGTAGATATCATGCAATTCATAGGGAGGTTTATCAGTGGTTTAACATAAGCTTTGAGAAATTTGGGCGCACATCGACACCACAACAAACAGAAGTGTGCCAAGCGATTTTCAAGAAGCTATTGGAGAATGATTGGCTTTCAGAGAACACAATGCAGCAGGTAGCATTCAATGGCTTGTAATTGTGCCCATTCTTTCCTATTTTCTTGGTTGAGTCAGTGATTATTTGCTTGCATTTTATGTTCATGCATTGCGATTTAGTTATGTTTTTTAGAATGTATTTGTATAAGTTATTTTAACTTGAATTAATACTGTAATTCAGCTTTACTGTGACACATGCAAACGGTTCTTAGCCGATAGGCTTGTGGAGGGGACATGCCCAACTCAAGGCTGTGACTACGCTTCTGCACGAGGAGATCAATGTGAGAACTGTGGAAAGCTTTTGAATCCGACGGAACTAAAAGATCCTAAATGCAAGGTGCATATGTTTTTTTTCATATCCTTTATTAGTATAAATTTCTGTATGTGTTGTATGCTATGTGCATATGTAAAATCAATTGAAAGGAAAGCATGACACGTCTGTACATAAGGTTTCCCAAATAAGAATGAGTACTACATTCCTCATTTGATCAAAATACTCAGGTCCTGTTCTCGTTGTTAACCTTTTCTGCAGCTTTGATAACTTTCTTCTTGTCCTCTGCATAATGAGTTAATAAATATGAATGTGAGAGTAACTTTCTTTTTTCCTCACGTGTAAAATTAAATGGACAGAAACGTGGTATTGTTACACGATTATTTTTCTCATTTTTGTCAATTGCAAGCAGGTCTGTAAGAGAACTCCACGGATTCGTGATACAAACCACATGTTTTTGGAACTCCCTTTGCTTAGGGATAAATTGGAAGAGTACATCAATAACACATCAGTGGCCGGGTCTTGGAGCCAGAATGCCATTCAAGCGACAAATGCATGGCTCAAAGAGGGGCTTAAACAACGATGTATTACCAGGGATCTGAAGTGGGGTGTTCCAGTTCCACATGATAACTTCAAGGACAAGGTTAATACATGTAATTTTAGTTATGCTAATTCTACTAATTTTTCTTACTATTTTTCAAAATTTGTTACATTGTCTCAACTCTGCTATTGATAGGTTTTCTATGTGTGGTTTGATGCTCCTATTGGATATGTCTCCATTACTAAATGCTACACTGATGATTGGGAGAAATGGTGGAAGAATCCTGAGAATGTGGAGTTGTATCAGTTTATGGGCAAAGATAATGTGCCATTCCATACAGTGAGTGTCCTATTCTGAGCATTTCTTACTTCGAAAAATCATATAATTGATTTCAATTGTGTACTTATTTATCTTCCAGGTGATGTTTCCGTCAACACTTCTTGGAACTGGTGAAAATTGGACTTTGATGAAGACTATCAGTGTTACTGAGTACTTAAACTACGAATCTGGTTGGTTGACTATCTAGTAATTCTTTAGTCACATTCTAGTTATGACCATTAATTGTGCATGATTTAAATTTGGATGGTTATGACCATTAATTAAATTATGAATGCATGATTTTAGAAGACCTTATTTATGAAAGCTCAAAGTTTTCGCCTTTGTGCAATATGTACTAGGTGATCTAAATTTTGATGGCTTTTACAGGAAAGTTTTCTAAGAGTAAAGGCATAGGGGTTTTTGGAAATGATGCAAAAGATACAAACATTCCTGTTGAAGTATGGAGATATTACTTGCTAACTAATAGGCCTGAGGTAATTTTGATGATTCCCATCTTCCTTTTTGACTTTTTTTTGTGATAGTTTGTAAATATCCTTCTTTCTCCGTATCTTTCGTTACTCGTTTTAATATATATATATATATATTTTTTTGGTGAACTAGGTATCAGACACATTATTTACGTGGGCCGACTTGCAAGCAAAACTGAACAGCGAATTGCTGAATAATTTGGGCAACTTTATAAATCGTGTTTTGAGTTTTGTTGCCAAACCTTCAGGTCGGACAGCCTTTGGTTTCTGAAAGTATTGACCAGGCAGCTGATTTGTCGTTTACAAGTTATTATCATGAGGAAGTTATTTTAGGAACAGTTATATTGTTGATTCTTGTTCTGCTTGTCAATTTTTGCTTCTGTCTGATGGTTATAGCTCTAGTGGTAAAGCCTCTACCTGCACACACACGGCCGGAGTTCAACTCTCCCCCTCCCCTTTCCCTGAATTAAAGAGAAAAAAGAAGATGCTTTTGGTTTTATATTTTTGCTTGAGGTGATCTGAAACCATATAACAAAATTATGTTGAAAATTCTTGATAGAGATAAACAACATTTCTTGATAATGCAACATTGCGATATCAAGGTTGGATATTTGTTCCTATATAGATCAGTTATGCATGTAATATCACAGAGGTAGTTGGATGATGATTAAATTGTATAAATGATTATTGCTCTATTTTCCTTGCGTCCTTACCTTTTTATGCATGTTTCCTGGTTTAACAAATAAGCATGGTATATGTGACACTTTGCAGCATGTAAACTAACAAAATCCATGTACAGGTCAAGGATATGGCTCTATTATTCCAGATGCTCCAAGTGCAGACTCAGATCTCTTGACAGAGAAACTAGCTGAAAAAGTTGGTAAATGTGTGGAGCAATATATAGAAGCAATGGAGAAGGTAATTGATATTTAGATGACAGTCTTGTTGCTAATAATAACTGGAAGCTTCTCCTCCGTACCTTTTTTTTTCACATGTCTCTTGCATTGGCATGACATTCTTATCTGCATTTTGTTTAGGTTAAACTAAAGCAAGGACTGAAAACAGCAATGAGCATTTCTAGTGAAGGGAATGCATATCTGCAAGTAAGCATGTTTTTAATCTCTGTTTGAGAGAATTGTTTATGGATAGGTTTCTGAAGGGTATGTGTTGGAAATGGCTGTGAAACTGATTATTCAACTGCTGCTAAGTTGCACCATCTACAATAACCATGCAGGAAAGCCAGTTCTGGAAGCTTTACAAGGAGGACCAACCTCGTTGCGCTGTTGTTATGAGAACTTCAGTCGGACTAGTGCATCTTCTTGCTTGTTTGTTGGAACCTTTTATGCCATCATTTTCTCTCGAAGTAATAAATTCTGTTCACAGATGATTGTGTTACTCTGAAATATTTTTGTGATCATGTGATATTACTATAATCATCCATGCTGAGATCTTTTTTTTCTTTAACTGCATTCAAGGTATTTAAGCAGCTTAATTTACCTCCTGAGACGCACATATCACTTTGTGATGATAAAGGAGATATTGATAGGGCAAGACGGCCTTGGGAGATTGTACCTGTTGGTCACAAGATTGGGAAACCAGAGCCATTGTTTAAGGAATTGGTATGTCTTTGACGTGCTTTGTCTTTCAATGTTGGACTCTCTGGCCTGCCATGATATGATTGCTGCATCACTTGCCTATTTGTAGATTCTAATTTAGTGAAAGTTTGCACTTGCACACAGAAAGATGAAGAAGTGGAATCCTTAAGGAAGAAGTTTGCTGGAAGTCAAGCAGACAGGAAGGAGAGGGAAGAAGCTGAAGCAGTGAAGGTGGCTGCACAACTCAAGAAAATGAAAGTTTCAGGTTAGAATTTCTTTACCTCTAGTTGATCTGGTCCACCACCGTTTGGTATTAGCAAAGTTAACTAATAAGTAATACTTCCCATACTTCTTTGTTGGATATTATACTTATTCTTACTTTAATACGTAGCTTCTCCTTGTAACCAAAGAAAAAGGTACATAGCTTCTCCTAAAATGTGGATAATCTCATAAGCTAAACTCATGTTTTCTGGGCACTTGTACTTGAAAAGAATCCTATACCCTTTATTATTTATTGCTAACATAAATATATCTATTCTGAATCCTGATAATCCATTTTTGTATCAGACAACAGCGGAAAGAAAAAGCAACAGGCCACAAAATCAGCAGCTGAAGCAGAGATTTCCATTTCTAGACTTAGGCCACAAAATCAGCAGCTGAATTAGAGATTTCCATTTCTAGACTTGATATTCGTGTTGGCCTCATTACGAAAGCTCAGAAGCACCCTGATGCTGATTCGCTTTACGTAGAAGAGATTGATGTTGGTGAAGGACAGACTAGAACAGTTGTGAGTGGACTTGTCAAGTATATACCCATTGAAGAAATGCAGGTTTGTGTTTGCATCTACAGATTTTTTAATAGTAAAATTCAAATTAATTTCCATTACTTTTGGGCACCTGCTAATCCATTTGTTTATTCATATTAATTGTTCTGTGGCAGAACCGGAAGGTCTGTGTTCTTTGTAATCTGAAGCCAGCAACTATGCGGGGTATTAAATCACAAGCAATGGTTCTTGCTGCTTCGACCAGTGACCATGCCACGGTAAGCAGCCATGTATACCTTTAATTAGTGTTTGCATCTTATATGCTCTTGCTAATCAGGCTCTTTGAGTAAAATAAAAGAGTGTTAATATCGATTTGATGATAACTAATTTTAACTTTTGGTCTCTGTTGTGAGGATATTTTTGACGTATCTTTATGTAAAAATTGCTGCTATAAAAGAGTTGATTTCCTGTCTAGGCATCTAAGGGGTCTGCGTTTGTTTTTACTATGTTGTTTTTCTGTTTTTTGTATGTCTGTTTGTGGCCATCTTGTCCACCCTTTCTTTTATTGTCTTATGCAATAAAATTTTGTCTCATTTTTTTTAAAAAGTTGATTTCTGACAGGCATATGATTATCAGTGTTGGCCGTATCTGCACAAGGTCATGTGATAATATGGTGATAATATGTTTCTGCTTAAGTCCTGTAGTGGTTTTGACAGTCAGAGTAATTTAGCAATATCAAACTTGAGTCGCAATGATTGCTGGTTGTTTCTGATTAGTCACTAATTTAGAAGAACTATGCCTTTGTAACTCACGTTTCTTGAAATCTTAGCCTTTGTGGAAACTATTGCAAACGCTATCCATTCTCAGAACCTTTGTCAAGCATGTAGAAAGTTTATCTGTGTGGTACTAATGTAATTACTGACGAGATCTTCAATGTTGGGTGCCTCTCAGGTTGAATTGGTTGATCCACCAAAAGCTGCTCAAGTTGGCGAGAGAGTTACATTTCCAGGGTTCGTCGGTGAACCTGATGAGGTGTTGAACCCCAAGAAGAAAGTGTGGGAGACCTTGCAAGTGGATCTGCACACTAACACTGACCTAGTGGCCTGCTACAGAGATATTCCCCTCACAACATCAGCTGGTGTTTGCACTGTATCCTCAATTTGTGGCGGGTCAATTAGATAGAAGATAATTTATTCTCTAGAGGTTGAAAAGGAACTGAAACGAAACAGCCAATTTTGGATTTTTTTTGCTGTAAAATGGTTATTTGAAAAACAATGACCAATTTTTGCTCGCGGATTGAGACCACTTTTGCTCCTCTTGTCATTTGGGTGAAAAAGGGAAAATGTCGTCTACTTCTACATGCTTCATGTGTAAAACGAAAGTTTTTATCATTTATAGTCAAAATTTAGAAACTTTCAAATATGGGGAAAAATTCACTTAAATGTATCCAAATTGGGAATTTCACAGGCAAAATTTTGTAAACATCATTCTTTTAATTTGGACTGAAGTGGGTACAAAATAAAGTATGCAACTGGATATTAGTGGATGATGAAAATAAAATATAGAAGAGAGAGAGAGAGAGAGTCTATATCTATTTCAGTGGTTTACACTATCTTTTCTCTCGTCAATGAGAGCTTGCATTAAATAAATAAATAATAGTACAACCGTGTGTTGTAAATGCAGAGAATCCAAATCCAGATATACATGCAAAATTCAAACATAACCTCAAGTTCAACAGGAAGACATAGAGCAAGCTAAGCTGTACATGGAAGGAGAAGGAAATCAAAACAAGAAAACAACACCAAATGCATGACCTCATAAGAAACTTTCTGCATCCCCCACTCTACCTTTTCCATATCTTTAGTCTGATCTTTGCAACAATCTTAACAAACAACTCAGGCCTTCTTGAGATCACGAAATCCGCAAGAACCACTCCCACCACCATCCCACTTCCATATCCAGCCAAACAAAATCTCCAATCAAGTTCCAATGTTCCAGCTGAGCCTGAATCATTTTCTTCTACCACTGAGGATGGCTGTTGAGGGGCCTCAGGATCTCCGCATTTCCTTGGCAATGGATCTCCACACAACCCGGGGTTTCCCTCATATGAAGTACTATTGAATGAAGTAAGTTGGGTTCCTTGTGGAATACGACCTGTGAGGTTGTTGTGAGACACATCTAAGTTTCCAAGAAAATTAAGCTGCGTCAGTTGTTGGGGGATCTGTCCAGAGAGCTTGTTTCGTGAAAGGTCCAGCGATTCAAGATTCGTTAACTTGCCCAGCAATGACGGGATGGAACCAGTGAGAATGTTGTTGGAAATGTTGAGGGAGTGAAGCTCCGTAAGGTTCCCAATGAACTCTGGAATCTGTCCTTCAAATTTGTTGCTTGAGATATCAAAGGATGCAAAGTCTTCTAGGATCTTTGAATAGTATAGATCCAAACCTTTAGTTGCTATTGTGATAGAGTAATCTACACTGTAACTTACTGGGAAATTGTTGGCGTTATAAGTTACGACTGTGTGCATGTAGTCTGAGTTGTTTACAGTACTGTCTGGAAACACAGATGGAATTTCGCCTGTGAAATTATTGTAAGACAAGTCAAGAATGCGCAACTTGGGGAAATCTAGATTCTTTCTAGAATTTCCTATGACGCCGTTGAATGCATTCTGGCGCATCGCCAAAAGTTTTAACTCAGGAAGAGTCCCCAACCAAATGGGAAAATCATCACTGAATTGGTTGTTTGACAGAACAAGATATTCGAGCATCAGACAATTGGCCAATGATCTTGGCAATCTCCCCTGCAATTGGTTATGGCTAACATCAATCATCCTCAAACTGCTTCTGTTGCTGTATGATTGTGGAACAATACCATGAAAGGAGTTTCTTCCAAGAAGCAAAAGGATTAGACCATCACTGAAGTTTCCAAGACACTGAGGAAGCGTGCCACTCAAGTTATTTTTCGACAAGTCGAGGTACCGAAGAGAACTCATATGGCAAAGCAACGGCGAGATTTCTCCACTAAAGTTGTTCTCAGGAACTCTGTATTCTAGCATGGATGGTGGAGGGATCGGTACCAGTCCATGAAACATGTTGGACGAGAGCCTTAAGCATAGCAAGTTAACCCAGGGTAGAAAAAATGGAAGTTGGTCAGAAACGAAGTTTTCAGAAATGTCCATGTATACCAAAGTCTCGGTGCTTATGTTCCACATCCATTTTGGTACTTGGCCATGGAGTTTGTTTCTAGACAGGTCTAACCGCTCCAAATTTGTTTGATATCTCAGGAAAGATGGGAACTCTCTTATGTTGCATGCACTCAAACTTAGAACGGTGAACTGTTGAATAGTTGTATTCGTACTTTTGGATTCGGTGACGAATTCCAAATTGTTCCCATTCAATTGGAGTTCATAGAGATTTTGTAGCTTTTGAAACATCTCTAACTTTACTACACCGCTCAGGTGATTTCCATGTAGATAAAGGAGCTCAAGATTCATGAGATTGGAGAATGAGGTAGGAATTGAACCATTCAAACTGTTAAAAGCAAGGTCTAGGTAAATTAGTTTGGTAAAGTTACCTAGCCAAGATGGGATTGGACCAGTTAATGGATTAGAACTGATCCTACACACAGTCAATTTGGTAAGGTTTGCCAAGGAATCAGGAATTGAACCTACAAATTTGTTTGCTGAAACATCTAGATAAGTGAGTTGTCTAAGATTACCAAGTGCGGATGGAACCAACCCTTCCGAAAAATTGCATTGAGCCACATCCAACACTTGCAATAAATTAAGCTTTTCAATCGAAGAAGGTATTATTCCGTAAAAACCAGTAAAGGAAACTTTTAGTAAGACAAGAGGACTACTTCGATTAAATTCAGGAAAATATCCAGTAAGATCTTGGTTGTATCTAACACTAAGACTTTTTAAGTTTGGTAGGTTGAAAATTCTCACTGGGAACTCACCAACTAGGTCACATTCCTTGAGAGCAAGGAATGTCAAAAATGTTAAATTTGCCAAGGATTCAGGTACCGTTGAAGATATGCTAACGAAACTGAGCTGAAGAGTTTCTAGATTAGTTAAGTTTTGAACTAGACTTCTCATATCAGATGGTTGAAGTTTCAACAATCCCTCACTAGAAGATGTTTCAAGATTGCAACAAAGATTAAGGGATGTCAACTTGGATAACTGGGAAACTTCAGATGGGACTTGACCAGAAAAGACAGAGGCAGAGAGGTCAAGCTGAGTGAGGCTTGGAAAATTTTTGATGCTACCAGGAATTTGAGAGTAATTGAAGTTATTGTCAGAGAGGTTTAACCTTTGAAGATGAACTAGGCGGAACAGGCTACTATTGGAGTGGATAGAGCCGTAGAGATAACTGCTGCTAAGATCAAGGCCAATAACATGTCCCGTCTTCTCATCACACTCCACACCGTCCCACGAGCAGCAGCTGCTGTTTCCTCCTCCACCAAGTTTCCATGCTGAAACCTTTGGATAAGCACCGTCATAACTTGAAGCAGATTTGTCAATAATAAAGCTCTTCTTGAACTGCAGCAAGGCAGAGCTCTCCTCCTCACGGCAAGAAAGCTGCTGCAAAGAGTATACAAATTTAGCAACCACAAGATGAAACAGCAGCAGAACTACTAGTTTCGAGAGCATGCGAATCGACACGTTGAATAAGCACAGGGACAGCCCCATAATGTTCTGATATTTTTTCTGTGCACTCTAAGCTAAATGACCATCTGTGTGGAAGTGAAGGTTAGAGAGAGAGCTATTTATGGACTGGCAGGATCAAATTCTTGAGCAATAATATGACAAGATTGAATATAAACAAGTATAATCGAGTTAACATATCCACTTGGCATTATATGGCACCATCAAGAGATAATATTATTGACCTTTGAATCAATATAATAAAGAAGTGTTTTCAGACTCTCGACCAAATAAAAGAAACTTCCGTTTTCAATATAAATGCAACGAGTACTTGTCACAGGAAATTATTTCATCCTTCCCATTAAGAACAATTGTTGTCAATTCGGAATAAAAGAAAAACAATTCATGTCAACTACATAGATTGGCTTTGTGATATGTTCAATTAGAAACGGCCAACAAACTTCAAGTCAACTTGTCATTAACTTTGGTGCTGCAAAATTGACAAATTCTTAATATGGGATAAGGTCTACGTGGGTGCAAAGGCTGGTCTGTGTAAAAAGACTAGAAGATAAGGTTATATAAGATCATCCCCAACCCTTTTTCCTATTCAATTTTTGGAATATTATTCAGTCAGAAGTCAAATTTTGGGAAGAACATGGTATAATGAACATATCTACGTGGGTGCGTGGATACGCTGAACAGAACATTGTATTGCTGGAATGAACATATCTACTTTGAGCCTTGTTCATTAGACATTTACACCATATATATATTCAAGACTTTTGCTACACTATACACAACAATCCCTCAGATTACAAGGAAATCTAGGAGTACAAGACGAGTTTACAAATATCAGTATGCAGGATGACTAGTCAAACTAATTAGATCATGATCATCAAACAGGTCTGTCAAAACCGCAAGCAAAGTATATACAAACAGAGAAAAATACGTATACGTATGCGTGACGTTTGGAGATAATTAGATTAGATAAAACTAACTGAATCATGAAAACTTTCTCAGACTTTATGCAGTCAAATGAGACTTTAAGCTTCAATGTACTCTCTACCTCCAGTGGTGCAGCATATACAATTGCATCATCCGCCAGCTCATGGAGCCTTCAAGACTAGTAACCCTAATAAATGAGTCATCTTCAACTCTATACTCAATTATTGGTTCTACTTTTACATTGTTAGTTCCCAATTTGGAGACGACGGAGTATTCCACTATAATCAAATGAGAGAATACAATAGTGTTTAACACTCAAAAACCCAAGCCCCAAATATACCCAAGCTCACGCCCCAAATATACCCAAGCTCACACACTCAAGAATATAAAGGGAATACAAATTGAGTACAAATTTAGAAAGGAAAAATAACCAATGGCAGCAACAAATGTTTTGCTGCCCAACTCTTATTTTTCCTCTCTCACTTTTCTCTCTCAGACTTTGGTGCGGCTCTTCTCTCTCTTGCATCTTGCTGCTGCCATGCTTCTCTATTTATAGAGAAGCCAACGGGTGAAGGCCAACTACTTCAGTTATGAGGCCAACTACTGAAGTCAAACCTACTAATAAGCCAACGTCCAACAATTAATGTGCCCATGCAATTTGTCTGCCAATCAACCAAGACAAACAGCCGAAAGCAACCAATCAACCAAATACCAAGGCAAACAGCCAACTACAGCAATAACTAGCAGAAAGTGAATTTCACCTTTTTGACTATTGGTTTGAGCCAATAATCAACAGTTTCCCCATTGAAGAAACATTTGGAATTTAAATTTTATAGTCGCATTATAGGAAAACACAGAGTAAGGGTACATACACACATAGAAGGAGAAGGAAAATAAACAACATAACCAGAAAAAGAAAAAAAAAAAAAAATAATAAATAAAAGAGCACCAAATGCATAACCCAATAAACTCAGTTTCTTATCCCCTATTCTCCCTTCTGGCCCTTCTTCTCCTTTTCATGGTTAGTCTGATCATTCCAACAATCTCAATAAACCACTCAGGCCATCTTGTGATCACCACATCTGAAAGAACCACTCCAACTAGCAACCCACTTCCAAGTCCTGCCAAACCAAATTTCCAATCAAGTTCAAAGCCCGACTCATTTTCGTGTTCGTTTGAAGAAGGTGGCAGCAGTTGAGAATTTCCACATGTATTTGGCAATGGATATCCACATAATCCCAGGTTTCCCTCATATGAAGCGATGACGAATGTAGAAAGTTGGCCTCCACTCGGTATGGGACCTGTGAGACTGTTGTGAGATACATCGAATTCTGATAGAAATGTAAGTTGATTCAGTTGTGGAGGGATCTCTCCTGAGAGCTGGTTCTGTGACAGGTCCAGTGATTCAAGCAGGGTTAAGTTGGCCAAGAATGTTGGGATACCACCCGAGAGAATGTTATTGGAAACATTGAGCAAGCGAAGCCCCTTTAAGTTCCCAATGAACTCAGGAATCTTCCCTTCAAATTTGTTGCTTGAGAGATCAACAGCAGCAAAGTCTTCTTGAATGAACTTATAGTATCTTTCCACACCCTTATTTGTTATCATGACTGAGAAATGATAATTGTACAACATTGAACTCCCCGAACCATAATTCGAGTTTACCTTCATATATGCAGACTGGTTTAGAGTGATGCCTCTCAGGGAAATCCCGGAAAAGAGGTATGCAGATGGAAACTCGCCTGTGAAATTGTTGTGAGACAAATCTAGAATGCGCAACTCAGGGAAGCCGATATTCTTTTCTTGGTTTCGTATGCCACCATAGAACCCATTACGGCTCATTGCCAAAAGTTTTAACTTTGGAAGAGTCCCCAACCAGAAGGGAAAAACATCAGTGAATTGATTGTTTGACAAAACAAGAAACTCAAGCATCACACAGTTCACCAGTGACCTTGGTAATTTCCCCTGCAATTTGTTCTTTCCAACATCAATCATCCTCAGATTGCTTAAGTTGGTGTATGTTTGAGGAAGAATACCCTCAAAGGAGTTGTTTCCAAGATTTAAAATCTTCAGATCACTAAAGTTTCCGAGACACTGCGGAAGCATGCCACTCAATCTGTTAGTTGACAAATCAAGGACCTTCAGAGAGCTCAAACTACAGAACAATGGTGGAATTTCTCCAGTTAATTTGTTCCCTGAAACATCATAGAATGTGATCGATGGTGGAGGTACTGGTAGTGGTCCAAGTAGCATGTTAGAACCAAGATCAAACGCTAGTAAGTTAACCCAAGGAAGGACAACTGGAGGCTGTTCAAAGCCTGAAAGAAAGTTATCAGAAATCGAGATGACCTGCAAAGTTTCTGTGCTTGTGTTCCACATCCATTTGGGTACTTGGCCATGCAATCTGTTTTGAGAAAGGTCCAACCACTCCAAACTTCGTTGATATCTTAAGAAATGTGGAAACTCTGTTATGTTGCAGGCTGCCAATCCTAGAATCCTAAACTTCGGAACAGTTTGATTACTAATGATTCTGGATTCAGTGAGCAGCTCCAATTTGTTATTAGATAGCTGGAGGCGGGTGAGATTTTGTAACTTAAGAAACATGTGGAACTCCAGTCTACCACTTAGACTGTTTCCTTGTAGATAAAGGAGATTGAGATCAACAAGATTGGATAATGACTCAGGAACTGAACCGTTCAATTTATTGAAAGTAAGCTCTATCTCAGTTAGTGTGCTGAGGTTGCCTAGCCATGATGGGATTGGACCAACTAATTGATTATAAGGAAGACTAAGAAAACTGAGTTCGGTGAGGTTTCCAAGGGAAGACGGAATGGAACCAGTTAAACTCATATTTCCAAGCTCCAGGAGAGTGAGTTTGGTTTGTTTACCAACCCAAGACAAGGAACCGCTACTAAAGTTATTATGAGAAAGTGAAAGAGATCTAAGTTGGGTAAGGTTTGCCAATGAAGCAGGGATTGGACCATTGAATTTGCATCTACTCACATCTAGCTCGTTTAATGAACCGAGCTTTTCTATCGAAGAAGGCAGGTGTCCAGAAAAACTAGTGCTGGCAAGTAAAAGTGACATGAGAGGACTAGTTTGATTAAATTCAGGCAAATAACCAGTAAGATCAGGGTTGTATCTCACACTAAAAAATTTTGAGTTTGGTAAACTGAAAATTCTTACTGGGAATTCGCCAAACAGCCCACTATCTCTTAGGAGGAGAGATGTCAAGGATGATAAATTTGCCATGGAATTGGGAACTGTCGAAAAAATGTTTACGAAACTGAGATGAAGCTTTTCCAGGCTAGTTAAGTTTTGAACTAGACTTCTCATATTGGATGGATGGAGTTCCAACAATCCTTGACCTGAAAATCTATCAAGATTGAGAGACAGATCAAGGGATGACAATTTGGACAAGTGTGAAACTTCAGATGGGACTTGACCAGAAAAGACAGAGGCGGAGAGGTTGAGATAAGTGAGCCTTGGAAAATTCCTAATGCTACTAGGAACTTGAGAGTAGTTGAAGTGATTATCAGCAAGGTTTAGTCTCTGAAGGTGAACAAGACGGAAGAGGCTGCTGTTAGAGTTGATGGAGCCGTAGAGAAAACTGCTACTAAGCTCAAGGCCAACCACATGACCCGTCTGCACATCACATTCGACGCTGTCCCATGAGCAGCAGCTGCTATTTGCTCCTTTAGCTGGTTTCCACGATAAAAGCTTTGGATAAGCACCAGCGTAAAGCGAAGCAGATGCGTCCAGAAAAAAACTTTGCTTGAATTGCAGCAAAGCAGAGCTTTCCTCATCATGGCATGATGGCTGCCGCTGCTGCAAAGAGTTCAAAGAGTGAGCAATAACCACAAGATGAAACAACAACAGAACTACTAGTTTTGAAAGCATCTTGCCAATGGACACGTTATGGTACCATATGGTGTTTTTTTTTTAAACTTTCTTTTGCACTCTTAGGTAGAGAAGCGGGAAATGCAAAGTGAGAGACCTTTTTATCGACTGACTGGTCATGAGAAGCAAAAATTGCATCAAAAATTCAAAGATATTGACTTCTCCTTTAGCTGGTTTCCATAATAAAAGCTTTGGATAAGCACCAGCGTAAAGCGAAGCAGATGCGTCCAGAAAAAAACTTTGCTTGAATTGCAGCAAAGCAGAGCTTTCCTCATCATGGCATGATGGCTGCTGCTGCTGCTGCAAAGAGTTCAAAGAGTAAGCAACAACAGAACTACTAGTTTTGAAAGCATCTTGCCAATGGACACGTTATGGTACCATATGGTGTATTTTTTTTAAACTTTCTTTTGCACTCTTAGGTAGAGATAGAGAAGCGGGAAATGCAAAGTGAGAGACCTTTTTATCGACTGACTGGTCATGAGAAGCAATAATTGCATCAAAAGTTCAAAGATATTGACTTCCTCAAGTCAACTAATAAGTTAAGTTTATTAAAAGACAAGTCGTCTGACAGGGGTGAGATAGATCACAAGTTCAAAGATATGTCTTGAAAAATATGTCTTCACTCGATCGATCTCATCCATCCATCTGATCTTTGATGCTCCGAAACATACGTTTGCACCAACAAAGACATGCAACCTTAATTATTGCAAGAATTTCATCTTTGCCATTTGCAAATGCAAGAACCATCTGTTAGATTTTTAGAAGGGTGGATTTTTATGTTTTTTTATCTTTAAAAATCCATCTCTTTAATTAAAAAATTTCTATGTGGACCATGCGCTTCGGTTTTGGTCTATGTTTGGTTTATGCTTGTATTGGTCTATGAAGTGGGTTTTTCAAGCTGCAAGTTGATTTGTGAATTGAGTTCTGAGAGGCTCGTGGGCTAATGATGGTTATTAGGGTATATTTTCAGAAATTATTGTTGGGTTCATTTTTATACATGATTTATGATATCATTTACCCAATGTTTTGAGTTAGTTCTTGACATTTTATAGCATTTTTCTTCTTTTTTGTGTTTTATGTTTACCTTGGTTGGCATAAATGTGTGCTAAAAGTGCATTATTGAATATAAATTCTGATTTTGCTCATTTTCGTAGGTCAACTTTTTTACCTTGGATCACCATGCTCCGGTGCTCGGATGAGGTGAAGCTCTTCATGAAACTTGCTCCAATGGATGTTGACTACAACATATCTAAATGTGAGCTTCATTGAACTAGTATAGCCTAGCCAACCGATCCAACATTAATCCTAACTCTGGAATTGTGGTTTGGACCACCTTTACCTCCATTGGATGTCACCCGCCCTTTTCTACTTGTTACCACACCACTTAGTAACAATGTTTTACTTAGGTAAGCTGGGATCTCATTCTAAATAGTTGGATCCCTCTTAAGGTATCAAAATTCAAAGAAATGATGAAATGTGAACATTAGCCTACCTAGCTTTAGGAAAAGGTTAAGTATCCTATGGATTGGTGAGTTGGAAAGGGAGAGAGGGTAGCTAGGGGGAGGAAATCATTCGAAACATTCTATACACTTTGCATTTTTCTGAAACAAGAGAGAGAGGAGAGCAAGGAGCAGCCAAGCAAAGGAGGCTACCAAAGAGAAGAAGAAACCATTCCACCATTGAAGGCTTTTGTGCCTTCACCTTCATAAAATGTGTAACTTCTTTCTAGTTTTATTTCAAGTTGTATTTACTATGAACATGAGGAACTAAACTCCATAGCTAGGGCTTAGGTTGAAGCCCTAAACATGTTTACACTTTTGTTTCGATGCTATGTGTTTGTTTTCTTTAATTGATCACCTTAGGTTGTATGTATCTAGCTAAAGTTGAGAAGTTGTGTAAGATATCCAAGAACATAATTTCTAATTAGCAACAAATAATTGAATCTTTACTAAGTGAGCATCATGTGAATTGGTTTCTTGACAACAAATGATGAATTCCTCTTTACTAAAACAATCTATCATTGATGTATATTTTTCTCTGATAAATCACCTTTGAAAGCATGCTTCTTGAGATTGTTGGGATTATATGTACCCTCATGTTTTCCTAAGCAACTAATGGATTAAGTAAGAATCATCCATGTGAATTGATTTCTTAAATGCCTAATGTAAACACCATGCTATTAGGGTTTTTGTGATGTTCATATTGTCTTCAAACTTAATGGATTTTTCATATGATTAAATCGAAGTATTAAAGCACACCTAAATTGATTTTATGGGAAGAACGAGTATTGTAATAGTAAACATGCACTTTACTTATCTTAGAGAGAATCAATGCGTCTTGAGCCACTAAACTCGGTCTTGATTGCGAATATCTTCATCAATGTATCTAGAATTTATATCTTGAGTATCCATAAACATGATTTGGATTTTTTAGGGTGGATTCCAAAAACCCTTGTGTTCGTCGCCATTTAAATTACACTTTATTAATCACATTTGTTGATCTTGCTAAAATTAGAGTTCGGTTACATTTTAAGCATTAGAATTAGTTCACTTGAATCAAACTCCCCCCTTCCCCCCCTCCTTGTTTTGTACATATGTGTGTTGTTTGAAGTCTTGAGTGTTCTTTCCATTGAATTTTGCTCACTTTTGTATCTGTTTTTGACATTTGGCTTGCATGAGTTCTTCATTTTTTCCGTGTTGAATCTAACCATATAAAGAACGTAAAATTTGGATTAACGGTTTGAAAGTTAGAAGTCAAAAATGGGACAGAGGTCGAAATTGAAAAACATAGAAAGTTCATAAATTCCTCTCTGACCTAAAAGTGCTACAGTACCCGATGATAAAGAAGTGATACAATGGTGATACAGTAGCGATACAATGGGTTGGGTTAGGTTTGGGATTGGTCTAGGAGGCTGGTCAATCTGTGGTTGACCAGAGGATCTTTGTTGGCTGGTAGGTAAGAATAAATTCAATAAGGAAATAATATTCAAGTGGGCTATACTCGTTTTTCCTTTATTTTTTTAAAATAATAGTATAGCCGCACGGCTTTCCTTGTTTAACAATTTCAGCACATATATACTTTCCATATATTTTGATTGAAATTGAATGAAAAGGAAAAAGACAGATGCATTAATGGAAAACATATATGGCTTTGTGAGAGATTAAAATACTGGGAAGGGTTGTCAATGCTATAAAGCGCTTATACTATGTCAACCAAACACTCAACAAAATATCAAAAGCGCTTTTATGTAGTGCAAAAGCACTTTTAAATGTGATATCCAAACGACAAACTGCTTCTTTGTAGAAGTGCTTATGTCATAAGTGCTACTAACATAAGCGCTACTGGCATAAACGCTTCGGGAAGAAGCACTCCCAAACGAGCCCAAAATTTGATTCTCCAAGTTTGGATTCTGTTCCCTGGATATTTAGAATAGTAACATTACTCAGTAATACTAGATTAAAGTAAAATAAAATAAACAACACCCAAAACAAAATTAGAGAAATTGCAACTTACCACGACATTATTGGAGGAGTTGTCCATGATGCTCGTGGAATCCAGTGAGATAGAATTCGAGAACAAATTCCCAGCCACAGCTATCAAAACGTAGTATGAACAGATTAAGGTTAATGAAAGTAAACTTCTGTTCTTCATTACCCACTAGATGAAAAAACCAGAACCAAAATAATGATCAAAACATATATAAAGAGAAGAGGGAGAGAGGACTACTTTCTCCAAAGGACTCATTGTTCCCAGTCATAAGTATTGTTACAGGGCACGACTCTGTCTTCCTGCATGACTCATATGGTTAAGTTTTTTTCTGACTAAAGCATTGGACTGAGTCCAGAAGCTTGCTGGGCGGAGTGAACGATCCGCCATTGACGTCCAAAGCAAGAGAATTCCTTTAACTGAGAATTAACACACCCGGATTCAATGTTTCTGTCAGCACTCAAGAATCAAAACCAAGTTCATCATTCAAAAAACCTTCAGAGAACAAAAGATAAAAATTAATGTCTACAATTGTAAATAATACCTGTAAAGGAAGAACCTCTTGTATGATTGCGAATTCTGAATGAACACTAGAGAAAAAACTGAATTACCCCTGATTTTTCCCCCCACTGTAGTGAAGTCCTTCGGATTGGCCCTGCCTAAGATTGTAATAATCAACAATAAGACGACACGCGGGATGATAAAACGACTCCAAATGTGACTGCCTTTTTTTTTCTTTTAAAATGAAAGAGTTGAACTTACTTTAATTTTGTCGTAGATTTTAGTTTAATATCACCGAAAAAAAATGTTTAGTTTACATCTTCTTAATTAATTTATTTATTTATAGTTTTTATTCCTGTAGAGGGTTAGAGTTTCCCTATGTAATGTATGATGAAATGTGAATAATATTATTGGTCATATAGTGCTTGTCTGGATATTGAGGAAGTAGATGCATAGTCTAAGCATGGAAGTGAATCTTGTTAGGGCTCAAGGGCCAATTCTGCAGATTGACCTCATTAATCATGACATGTTGTCATTGCCTTATGAGAGTATGATAAGCAAAAATCACCGTTCTCTTGTCGCAACTAACACGCAGTGAAATCTCTCCTCACCAATTTTGGAAGATGTCTCAGGTTCGAATGTTTCCTTCCCATAAAGAAAGAAAGAACAAGTGGTAAAATTGTTGCAAATAGAATGTAGATTTTTTATATTTGGATTCCCACTAACCCTCTTGTTTTTTTTTTTTTTTCTATATTTTATATTTTTTTAGGTTTAATGTAAGATTAAGAGGTGCTATGGTTTTTTCAAATCCTTTTTCGGTGATTGACTTTAGAGCTTGTGACTTTTGCAGACTTCATATAGTCAAGTGAAGAAAATTGTATTTTTACTAGCAGAGATGAACTTTGTTGCTGAGCTCGAGAAACCATAGCAGACTGGTGATGCAAAGGCTAGTTTGGATTCTCCAAATGTGTTTTGATGGTTGGAGACTCCTCAAAGTGGTGATTAAATATGTATATGATGGGATGTTTAACTTCAACCTCTGCTTGCCTTTAAAACTAAAAATCAGAAAGAGGTACAAAAAAATACTGAAAAGCAAATTAATGAGAACTTTCATCCATCCTTTCAGAGAAGTGCAAAATTGGCTTCATCTATAAGTACAGTGATTGATAACAATACTCTTCCCCTATTTTCTTTTCTTTTTCCGGTTTTTTTTTTCTCTTCTTGGTGCTCTACAAAACAGCTTGCCAAAGGAGCAAGGGGAAAACTCACAAGACTCATATTAGGCAATTCTTTTACCTCTTTCCCTTTCCTCTTTGTCCACCTTTTCCACCTTTTCCACTTTTACCAAATTTGTTACCCTTAGAAGACTTGCTCTTCATATACGAGATTCTGTCGGCCTTTTTCTGTCGATCCTTCCGAACCTGTTCTAAGTCCTTGATTTCAGAACGCACATGAGCATTAGGCACAGAGTTCTGCTTCCTGTTTCCCCAAGAGTTCTTCCCCTTGTTCCCCTGCCACCTACGGTTACCTGCAAAAGACATGCATGCCCAGTAATATATATTAGGTACCTATAATCAAACTTCTTAGCTTTGTTACAATGGACCTTCACCATTGCATCATGTAGAATGATGCCCACAAATTTTATATTTCAACATTATCACCAAATTAGCAAGTGTGCGCAGTGCATATTGACTTCCCTGCTAACTATACGTCGCATATATGGCTTTATCTCATCCAACAGCTAGCACACTACATATTTTTGAAGGCAGGAAACACAAGACAGAAAAAGAAGCCAGCTCTAATGAACTGAACAAAGATTCTCATTGGATCACACAAAACACCAAAAGAATAAAAAGAAAACGGGTTCATAGGAAAAGATTCTTTTATATAGGAATAAACAAAAAAGGCTTGGTGCAGGAGAAGATTGTGGATAAATAACCAATTGATATCTTCCACAAGAAATACTAAAAAAGAAACCTTTTTGTTTTTTAGAAAGAAACTTTTTCTAGCAGCCTGAATCCTTACACCCAGTCACCACTCTATGTTTGATAATGTAATACCCAAAAAAAATGTAAAAATAAAAATATATATATCAATCAAATTTAAGAGAAAGAAGGAAAAAAAACATAAACTTCCAAACAGAAAGCATTACCTGCAGCTTCCTCAGCATTCCCTTCATTAATTCCTTTGAGCGATACTTTATTGTGAGAACGTTCTTTCCACCTCTTGTATATCCCAGTTTTCTCAAGTTTTGCTTTTGCACCACTCTCTGTCTTTATCTGTACACCATAAAAATATAGCATAAAAGTTTTGAGCTATCCAACTAAAAAAAGGAAAAAAAAACAATAATTGTTGCAAGCGCACCTTGAAGATACTATTAAAAGAAAACAATAAAGAGTTCATAATTGAAACACCTCTGAGGTTTAGCATAATTATGATTAGACATTGTGTGCTTGGAAATTACACAAACAGTGTTTTGACAGAAACAACACATATGTAAAGCAGTGTTTTGAAACCATTACACGTTTCAAATGAAACATAGCATTGTTCACAAAATTAAGAGCCACCACCCAATACTCATGCTCGCCATCAGGGTCGGATTCTTTTCATACCTAGGTTTCCTAAGCAATAGCAGCACCTAAGATGAGAAGGCAATGGTACCAACAGAGGTGTTTGGATATTGAAAAGAACTTTCTTATACAACCTATTGCATCAAAGTTTCTTAGTCTGACAATCATAAAATGTTAGTTAATAATTGCTACTAATGAGGTTCAAATAATAATAAATGCAATGCAAAAAATACATACATGTTAACGATGACCATAATATCATGCATGTTTAGATATACAGTATACATATGTTGCTTTCTATAAACATCTAAGTGGGCCATTGACTAGTTTTTGGAACATTTCCAGGATGTGTCCACCATATATCTCAAAATGGATCCACATACACCCAACTCTAGTAATTCTTTTTCTCTCAAGAAGAAAACTTAATTGAACCCAAAAGCCAGTGCCACAGCCGATAATTTATTTACCAATTAAAAATATCCACTTCAGTTATATGTATTCTTTTCAAAATAGCAAGTTCAACATTCAGTACAAGAGCAAAAAGACAAATGTTCTAGATATAACTATAAGAACAACATTATGTTCAGAAACTAAATGGAAATTAATACTAGGAATGATCCAATAAGTGTTAAAAGAGAACACATGTCAAATTAATTACGGATGTTGAGATAGCATACCTTGCCACTAGCTGTCACACGGTCACCATTATTTAACTTTATGTACTTTTTCCCCCTCTGCCAGCCATTAGTTTCATGAGATTAACAGAAAAATAGTTAAAAGAAAATGACAATGAAAAATTAATATTACTGTTCAAAGTACCTTATCCCAATGAAATACAGATTTCTGTTTCTTCATGCCCACATTATCATCTGCAACCAGATCTAGAACAGCAGCTTCCAACCTATGAAGACAGATGGGGTCAACTGGTGCCCAGAGCACAAGAGATTGCATACATCTAATCTTCACAAAAATAATCAGATAATTTGAGCAGCACAAGTTAATGAAACTTGGGTTGAAAGTCAGGACTCATCAGACTTGGGGGAAGGAGGAAGGGTGGGGGGGGAAGCTGAAAGATATTCCTGTTCTCCCCACTCCAATCATATGTGAGCACACTCACTCACTCACTCACTCACTCAAGAGAGAGAGAGAGAGAGAGAGATGCAAAGAGAGATTGGCTATTGCATACTGCCAGAAAAACTTGGTAACATGACATGGAATTGTCAACGCACTTCCAGACAAATATAGAGAGATTGGCTATTGCATACTGCCAGAAAAACTTGGTAACATGACATGGAATTGTCAACGCACTTCCAGACAAATATAGAGAGATTGGCTATTGCATACTGCCAGAAAAACTTGGTAACATGACATGGAATTGTCAACGCACTTCCAGACAAATATAGAGAGATTGGCTATTGCATACTGCCAGAAAAACTTGGTAACATGACATGGAATTGTCAACGCACTTCCAGACAAATATAGAGAGATTGGCTATTGCATACTGCCAGAAAAACTTGGTAACATGACATGGAATTGTCAACGCACTTCCAGACAAATATAGAGAGATTGGCTATTGCATACTGCCAGAAAAACTTGGTAACATGACATGGAATTGTCAACGCACTTCCAGACAAATATAGAGAGATTGGCTATTGCATACTGCCAGAAAAACTTGGTAACATGACATGGAATTGTCAAGAGAGAGAGAGAGATGCAAAGAGAGATTGGCTATTGCATACTGCCAGAAAAACTTGGTAACATGACATGGAATTGTCAACACACTTCCAGACAAATACACATCAAGAACTACCTAAATGCCCCACAATAAGATTTCATTTATTTACAGCAGCAATTAAAGGCCAATACCATAAACCAGGTTAAAAGTTAGTTAAATCAATTTCCATAGAGCTAAAGTAGAATCAAGTATTACCTATTTGAGTCAAAATCATCCTTTCCTCTTACTGAGAGTCCTGCTTCTGTATGCTGGACAACAATAGCAGGATAGTCCAATGGTCAGCCAGGTTCCAATTTTTGTAATCCAAATCCACAACACAACTTAAAACACACAACTATTTGATGCAACAAATTATTGGCAATTCAAAATCAGGGTGATGAATTTTGTTTTGTTTGTTTTTTTTATGGAGTTGTATCAAGATGTTGGCAGACCTGTCTTTGCACTGTGTTTCTGATTATTATTAATAAAATTTTGTTTCTCATAAGAAGATTATATATGAAGGTGAGGATTTTTTTTATAAGAAACAAACTTTTATTAAAGCTCAAGAAAACAGAAGATGTAGGTGGACAAAACATCCACTGTGTAACGATACAGATACAAAATCTAACCATCATCAACAAAACCTCAAAAGCAATAACAGAAAAAAACAAAAAACAAAACAAAACAAAACAAAAAAAACATACGGGAAACAGATACCTAATCTGACCATATTAGAGAAAAACAGTATAATATTGCAATATAGCACCGTAACTAACTTGAGAAATTATAAAAGTAGTATGACCTACATGATTTGTTGGTACCGAACTTATAAAGTACTCCTCATCCTTAAAGCTCCTTGCCTTTCTTTTAGAGCCTGATACTAATATCCAAGAGAAAACAACGAAGTATTAATAAACCATTCCATAAACAAGCATATAATGTGTTATGGGGAGACAGAAAAGGAAAAGGAGCCAAATCACTCCCTAACGTGTTTGAAAAATGAAGGTGAAATGACATTTCAATGAGTATGTGCCTCTCTAGATCCACTTCCCAAATACCAGGTTTCAGTACCATTGAATACTACCACTTTAAACAACTTATAACCAAGGAGCACAATGGGGACAAACCATACAACAACAAAATCTCCTGGCATTATTCTATTAGATTACTTTGCAAATTTACCAGTTAAAATGAGTATAAACTAGTTCAGGAATCAGGATGAGAAATTTCTTGCTATTAGTTCAGGGATTAGAATAATTGCTCATGCAAGGCAAATACGTTCAGCACTATTGCTTAGTTCTAACACTAAAAGTTAGCATAAATATGTGATATATCAGGCCACATCTTAAATGCATCTCTGCAATAGAACCGACGACTCTTTTCTGTTTGAACAGAAGCTTGTTCATTTTTTTCAAAACGTGCCCGTCAGCTTACCCAAGAGTTATATCCTACCACAATCCGCATGCAGGCAGGAGGCTGCTCAAAGTTTCATTTCTAGAACTTCTTTTACCCATTCAAGAATTCCGTTTACGGCTTGGGGTCTAATAAACTGTCCTAACCAGGAAATAAAAATCTATAAAAAAAGAAAAAGAAAATCAAAAGAGAAAAAAATCGTTTGAGCAAAGTGGAAATCCGGATGAGGACTGTCAGCTTTGGATGACACGTATATATACCTTTATTATCTATATATAACACCACACACACACAAATATATATATCAAACTCTGAACTAAGGAATACCTTTCTTCTCCTTTGCCTTTGAAGGAGTAATCTCATATTCAACTCCCTGAAAGTACCCAAAATTCAGTTTAGCACAATTTAAGATAAGGGAAGACATGATATGATTATTGATGCAAACCCATGTACATAACCTTTGCTTTAGAAATATACAGAAGTGGTCATTTTCAAATTGAACTCAGTATTAAAGACAATCAGTACTACTAAATATCCATCTCTATTTCATTTTCACCCTCATTTTGTAAGAAAACAGTAACCCAAGGCCAAATTTTGGTTTCCAAATTTATTTCCATAGAATAAGACACTTCTTGCTGCAGTCTCAGAAGTACTGCACATTATAGAACTTGTTCGGTGGTTATTAAAAAAAGTAGCATTTAAAAATCAGTAAAACCATATACTACCACACTAAAATATTTACCTTTTCCGCATGATTATCAGAACGTTGCTGATGAAATAAATTAATGACCTCTTCATGAATAGCTCTTTTTTCCCTCATTACATCAACCCATTGACGAGAAGAACCCTGCACATAAGCCATATACTTAATCTAACACCAAATAAGGCCACATCTGAACATCAAGAACAGAAGCCACAAAGAATAGCAATTATACAAGTAAGACATACACATTTAGGTAGGAACTAGTTGATGTCATCTTGCACATAACATAAGTCATTTCATCCAAACATATTCAAGGTGCCCAATTACGTACAATGGCATCACCTTCCAAATAATAATAAACTTCAAACTAAGCTCAGTGTTTGTTCTTGTTATCTTAAAAGCGCCCAATTACACACAGTGGCATCGCCTTCCAAAGTTTAGAAAAAAAAAAAAGGAATGTCTACAAAACAACCCCTCCAACTATAGAGCAGACCAGCATGTATAGGCATTGTATTAAACTTGGTTAAAAAGAAGATTAAGAAAATTGTCACTTAGATCAACACCATGAAGCTTCCAATTAAATGAAATCTACTACTAAGACATAAAGTGGAGAGTTACCTTCAGATTCTTTGATTTAGCAGCTTCACCTTCAGTTTCTAGAATGGTCTGCTTGGGTCTAGCATAAATCAGACATTGAATGGTTAAAGTTAGCAGCTTCAAATCCTCAGAAGAAGAAACATAATAGAAGGGCATCTCGAAATATTATTAGAAATATACAGTAAAAGACCAATGCTAGTAGTGTAAAACCTGAACGTCTTCAACCGCTCAGAAAATGCCAATGCCTTCAACTCTCCACCATCCAGTACATTTTTAAAAATTGGATGCAACCCTTCACGAGGTAAATCTTTTGCTCTTCTAACAGACTCCTTTGAAGGTGAGGGTTTTGTCTTTGAATACAAGCGGAATGCATTGGCACATGTTTTCAGCAATAAAGTGAGTTCTGAAGAAGAATCAATTATCTCTCTAACCCTATCCGAAACAAGATCAATAACTGTTTGGGGGAAACGCGACCAATGCTAGTAGTGTAAAACCTGAATGTCTTCAACCGCTCAGAAAATGCCAATGCCTTCAACTCTCCACCATCCAGTACATTTTTAAAAATTGGATGCAACCCTTCACGAGGTAAATCTTTTGCTCTTCTAACAGACTCCTTTGAAGGTGAGGGTTTTGTCTTTGAATACAAGCGGAATGCATTGGCACATGTTTTCAGCAATAAAGTGAGTTCTGAAGAAGAATCAATTATCTCTCTAACCCTATCCGAAACAAGATCAATAACTGTTTGGGGGAAACGGCCGTAAACAGTTTCTCCATTTGCAACTGCTTGATCAATCTTGGACAGCATTCCATCCATATCCTGTAAAACCTCCTCTTCGGTAGGTGCAGCCCTAATTGGTTTTGAAAGAAACAGATGAAGATCTAAAAGGTTGGGCATATCTTCAGATGTCACAAGAGAGAACGCAGTACCAGTTCGACCAGCCCTTGCAGCTCGGCCTACTCGATGGACAAAAAGTTTAGGCTTTGGGGGAAAGTCCCAATTGATGACATTGTCAAGCAACGGAATGTCAATTCCCCTAGCTGCAACATCGGTGACAATTAACAGCATAGTCTTTCTTGCCCTAAACCTTGATACATGAATTTTGCGAGCATCGTGATCCATGTCACCATAACATACAGAAGGCTCGATGCCCTCTTCTCTAAACAAGATATTCAGGAACTCCACATGATGTTTTGTAGATACAAAAATCAATGTCTGCTCACCAGATTTAATGTGCTCCCTTATCAAATAAAGTATTGCTGCATGCTTTTCTTCCTGTCGCACGGTGAAAAACATAACCTTCAAGTCAGGGCTAATCTTAGTATCCAAATCAAGCCGCACAAGCCGAGGGTCTTGCAGACCAGCCTTGGCAAACTCTGCAAGAGCACTGGGTAATGTTGCACTAAAAAGCAGGGTCTGACGGTTCTCACTCAGCTGCCCAAGGATTTTGTGCAGCTGCTCCGCAAAACCCATGCCAAAGAGGCAATCCGCTTCATCAAAAACAACATACTCCACAGTCCTAAGTGACATGTCATCAACTTCAGCTAAGTGGTGCATCAGCCTACCGGGTGTTGCTATTATAATATCAGGGTTTTGGGCTAATTCTTCAAACTGAGTTTCCATGCTATCACCACCAACTAGTAAACTAATTCGAACATCTGCAACAAATACAGAAAATGATTTTGGTTTAGGACCTTTTGCAACCAACACTTTAAAAAATTGACTATATTTAAAAACCCAATATTTTTCATCAACAGGGAACTTCAAATTCTTCCACTTTCTTCCAATTTCTTTCGTCAAATGAAATGAACACAAAAATATCAAACTTTGAAACAAAATGGCACATACCCATGAAATGGCCAAGCTCTTTGGTAAACTTGTGAGTCTGTAAGGCCAAGTCTCTGGTGGGGGAGAGAATGAGCGCCCTAACACCACCCTGGGGCACGTGCTCCTTCAACCGCTCGAGCATGGGGATCAAAAACGCGGCCGTCTTGCCTGAACCAGTTCTAGCCATGGCAACGACGTCGTTTCCACCAAGAATAAGGGGCATGGTCTTGCGCTGAATGGGAGTGGGGACTCTATAGCCCTTGCGCTTGACTCCTCTGAAGACATTGGGGCTTAGATTCAGAGACTCGAACCCTCCAGACTTGGCTTTCTTCTTCTGTATCTCCCTTCGCTTCAGGTCCGCTTTCGAGCTCACGTATACCATCGGGTTCGGATTTTCTGCTGCTTTTTGTGGTTTTAGGGTTTCTGGGTTTCTTCTTTTCTGAATTGAAGAAAACAGTAGCACACAAACTGTTCAATTGAAGAAGGGGCTGGAGGTTGGAGGCCGCGTCGATATGTGCTGTGCTCTGCACTAGGTCGGCAAAGGCGGCGTCGTTTTGGGGAACAGAGATGAAGAGGAAAAGGGGCGCGAAGTGGTAAAGGGTTTAGTGTTAAACCTGATGAAGAAATCAGCTGCGGCTAGGTCCATTCTATAATATCCTAACAGCCACTTGGAGCTCGCCATGTGTAAGAGATATTTTTTATTTTTTTTATTTTTTATTTTTTTGGGGTCAAACTTCTTTTTCTGAAGTTAGGTTGCGTTGCATTGTCGAAGAAAATATACAGAGAAAGGCAAAAGACAGAAGCAGGAAAAAGAAAAACTTGAAATCTCGTAACGATGGCGAAGCCAGTGTCTGATTCACACAGCAACAGAGAAGCAGTTCAAGCAACAAACGACGACGCCTCGGCCAGCAAACTGTGCGCGCCCTTAAACTTTCCATTTTCAGCTCATTTTTAATTAAGCCTGATATATTTGTAGTTTTGCATAAATGCCTACAAATTTGCATTGTTTAACCGCAAATTACTATTTTTTTGTTCTGGTTGAATTGCATATGCGTTTTTTTTGACCCGTAGGTTCTGTTTGGTTGCCGAGAAAATGAAAGAAAGGAGAGAGGATATTTGAATTTTAGATGAAGTGTGACAATGTTGGTTGCTTAGTTTTGAATTTGATGCATAATGCTAACTTTGAACTGTATTGTTGAAAAGGTCCTGCGTGAAGAAAGGGTACATGAAAGACGATTATGTCCATTTGTTTGTAAGAAGACCTGTGAGAAGATCTCCGATTATTAACCGTGGTATGTTTTAGTTGCTCAATCAAAGATAAGAGTTGAAAGCTCATGATGTTGTTAACTTTTTTCACAAGTAATGAGTGTTAATCTATTTGCTTTATTGTTTTTGCATAATCGAGGTTACTTTGCTCGTTGGGCTGCTCTTCGCAAGCTCCTGAATCAGTTTCTTGATACTGAAAAAAATGGGGGTGAAAAGGGTAATTTGAAGAAGCAGGTTTTATCACTTGGAGCTGGCTTTGATACAACATATTTTCAGCTGCAGGATGAGGGGAGAGCACCCCATTTATATGTGGAGCTGGATTTTAAGGAGGTACGAATTGTGAAACATTCATTACTATCTCATTGGTTCTGTTGGCAGCACACTGACTTTTATATGTGGATTCTGACCAACTTAGGTTAGAAGTTAGAACTTTAAGGAGTGAATAGTGTGTTGATGAACTCATGCTAACCCAACCTGTCCTGTCAGACCAAGTGTTGTTTTTCTGCTTTGAATTAATTAGCATTTTAACTTATCTAATATGGACAAATATTGTCTTCCATAATTTTGCGTGTACTTGCATCTATACTGGACAAGAAAGTAAAGACATGTGATCTTTGTTTGTCAGGTAACTAGTAAGAAGACCACACTTATTGAAACCTGCAATCATTTGAGGGACAAAATTGGTGCAACAGCTTCAATCTCTCAAGGTACCTACTCTAGTGTTGCTGATGTTATAAATCTATGGTTGAATCCCTTCTATTGACTACATGTGTCTTTGGAGTGTCTTCTTTGATGTGTTATGTCACTATATGAATAGCGCAGAGCCGCAATCTTCACTGATGTGCTTGTAAAAATTCCTTGGATGATTCCCCTTTGTCTTGTGGTTGAAAACTTTGATTCAGATCTTTAAGATTGTCAAGTTACTTATCTTATATGCACAAGTGAAATATACAAACTGTTCTTGGTACCCCATTATAGAATTTCTACTTTGCAGAAAAAGGAGAAGTGCTCAGTGACCACTATAAGCTACTCCCCATTGATTTGCGCAACATACAACAATTAGACGATGTTATAGCTTTGGCTGGTATGGATCGCAGGTATGTGCTTACAGTCAATTTTCTTCCTTTGTTGTTTATTTAGATCTCATTGCCGTACTTTGAACACTTAGTTTTGGGTCATTGGTGTCTTCTTTTATGGCTTTCCAGATACTTCCATTTTAAATAATAGCTATGGACTATGGTAGCTTCCTTAAAAGATTGTGATGCTTTTATTATTAGTCATATTGTATCATCCATACTAGTTCAGTACCCATTTTGGTGTTCACATGCCAAAAATACTTTACTACACTTTTAAGATAACTTAATTTTATCGACAACATTGTTAGTTGTTGCAGTTCAAATAAATAGAATACCAGTGGATTCTTATTAATAAATAATAAAAGACTGCCCTTATTGATGGAAATTTGTCATTGATAATTGTCTTGAGATAGTGATTAAATTGATTTATTCTAATATTGTTATCAGCCTTCCAACTTTTATAATTGCAGAATGCGTTTTGATATACTTGGATCCAGATTCAAGTCGTGCCATAGTTGGCTGGACATCAAAAGCATTTTCAACGGCAATATTTTTCTTATATGAGCAGGTTACAGGCCTCTTCAAACTTAAGAAGCCTTTTTGGTGTTTGTGTGTGACAATTTTCACTCTGATCTTCCTTTCTTCTTTGATTTGTGACACTGACGAGTACTTTAAAGTGGTGGTTTTATATGTGTTTCTTACATATATGGTTGGTTGTGGTTCAACAGATTCATCCAGATGATGCTTTTGGGCAGCAGATGATTAGAAACTTGGAGGTCTGCTTTACTTCTTTTTACTTTCTTCCGAACATTTTTTTATTAAATAATTCCGTACTTACTTTTAAAATGCAGCAGTCAATTCAATTGAGCCCTTACAGATCTTCCCCTTATTATTTTCAGTTTTCAATTCATTAGTCGTAGATAAAGATGTAATATATATAAAAATATTTAAAGGACCAGGCTTCGGAGATGCAAAGATCATCTTATCGAATTATTGTAAAATGTGCCTAAACCTATATTTTCAAAATTCAAGTTTTGTGATAATCATGAGAAAATTTTGTTCCATTTCTCAGCCTTTGCCTGAGAACAAGGAAGAACCTTGCAATAACTTTTCCGAGCTCTATAGGAACTCATGATAGATAATGTAGGTTTGAGTGGAGTATTTGGATTATTCAGTGAATTCACTTATTACATTGTTGCCTGTCCTCAAAAATCTGCACTCCTGTTTAGCTCTGAGTGGAGTGTTTTGGGTTATTTGCTTTTGAGTGGAGTGTTTGGGTTATTTTCTTTGACTGGAACTGATTGGGTTATTCCTAAGATTGTTCGGGATGTTTTACTGGGCACCAGGACCACAGTATTATTTAGAAGGCGATGTCGTTGTGTCTTATATGGGGACGAAAGGAATAATAGGACATTTGAGGACAGTTAAAAGTTGGTTTCCTATAACCAAAAAAGAAAAGTTGGTTCCTCTCTTTTTCCAGCTGGTGGTGACTATTGTTTTTCTACTAGTTCCTCTCTAGATTATAGACACTAGTCTGTTTGTGTGGTGTTCCTTTTGTGTACTGGATGTAGAGTGAGAGTGCATTCACTACAGTATCTTGTTATAGAAAAATATAAATAGATAAATTAAGTAAAGTACATACTTATTCTTTCAATAATGTAACACAAGCCTACCTTGTTGGTCAGGAATAATTGTCACTGCTTCTTGTGCATGCTTTTATCCCCTTAGTCCTTTAGGTGAAACTATGTTGCACAACACCATCTCATGTTTTCTGGAATAAAGATTTGATATGCATATGGTGTGGTTAATGTTTGTTTCAGAGTCGAGGCTGTGCACTCTTGGGCATACATGATACACCGACATTACAGGCAAAGGAAAAACTTTTTCTTGACCAAGGATGGCAGGTAGAAGTTATAAATTATAATTAGTATCTTTTAGCAATAAACTTTGTACTCTCTTGGGTATCGTTACATAACAGAAGGTACAACAGCCAAATGATGATAAAGAAGTCATCTACCCCTAACAAAAGCCTAGAAGGCAGGACATAGATGCGTATGTACACATAAAAATATGACAATTTTATAATGCTCTGGAAATTTTGTTGGCTGAAAACGTTCAATTTGTAGGCCCTAGTTTATTGAAACTTTTGTACCTTTCTAAATGAAGTTTTTTGTTTCATGTTTCGGGTTTCTTTTATTTGCGTCCTTTTGAATGTTGTTTTTATTTCACTGAATTAATCTTCATCCTATATTAATTTAATTTTAATAATGTTGTGATTTTGAATGTGTGGGGTTTCAGAGGGCTGTTGCCTGGGACATGCTAAAAGTGTATAGTAATTTTGTTGAAGCTCAAGAAAGACGCAGGTATGTCCAATGTATATCTTGCAAAACTATTAGTCGTTTAGTCATATTTTGCAATAACATGCTCACTTTTTCTTTTTTTCTTCTTTTGTGGGAGGGGGGAGGGGGAACCCAAAATACACCCAATAAACAGAATACAGATAGACATACAGATCCTACAAGAAAAGACAAAATTCACTTTTTCAATTACCAATACATGTTTATTGTCATTCCTTCCTATCACATAACTTTTACCAGAAAACTTGGCTTGGTATTTATCTTATTCTTCTCCTTATTTTAATGTCTTTAAGTACGACAAATATGTGAAGCTCTTTGTCTTTCAGAATTGTTTGATAGTCATTTTATCCTGCTTGAGTCTTGGAGTTCAGTTTCAATTAAAATTGTTAACCACCTGCTTGAAACAGCTTTATATAGTCCAAGTTAACCATGCAGTTTTAATACAATATGTCATACAGTAGATTGGACTCAAATTTCAACTGGACTATCTTAACTTGCCAATTTATCTGCTTAGACATGCCAGATCCTAGTGTATAGTATGTCATTAAATATCCTGTTCTATCCTTTTGGGAGGAGATGATAATTTTAACATATTGAGAGTATTCCTACGAACAAAAACTCATGTTTGGTTTCAGATAAAGGTTAGAAAAGGGGTGGATGGCTGCCTTTTTTTATTCTTACTTTACAGAACATGAAAACCCACTGGACCTTTCTCTGGAAGCCTTTTTCCCTGATTTTAGTCTTTTTTTTGTTGTTGTTTTAAAATTCCCTTGGGTTTGTATGGTTGTATTAAGATACTTTGGTTGTGATAATGTGGTACCACCTCTGCCCATGCTTTTGCTCTTTTTATCAACTTTTAGTCAGCTAACTTGTAATTGATATTCTTGGGAAGATTCTCATATGTAATGTCTTCTTGTTTAGGATTGAACGATTGGAATTGTTTGATGAATTTGAAGAATGGTATATGATGCAGGCAAGTCAACTTCTCATTTCTGTTGTAAAAGAACACAGTATGCTAAATATTTTTGGTAAAAGTAATTTGACATGGGTTAGTTAAATTGGTCTCCTACCTGAGTGTGTTTGTGCCTTGTGTGCTTGCACATGTAGGCACATGAGTCATGGGACCACAGTGAGTCTAGTGACGTAAGGTGTGTAGGGCCAGAAGCAACCATGGCTCCTGTTTCTGGGAGGCTGGATGATGTCACCCATACTACCATACTGGAAAATGCTGATATATGCTTAGGAATCATCTCCATCTCTCTCCTTTATTTGGGAGGCGGTGAAGGATTTATTATCAAATGTTCATCAATATATTCCATCAATTTTTCTCTGAACTTTTGTCCCGAACTGCTGATTTTCAGGAGCACTACTGTGTGGCTTATGCAATCAATGATGCCATGGTATGTCCACATATGACTGAAAGCCTGGAATATGCATCTGCAATTCATCACATATACGCTTTTTACAGTTTTTTTTTTTTTTTTTCATAATTATATTGTCATGTGATAGGGAGCCAAATAACTGGATTAATCTTTTTTGAATATGAACAAAACTTAGAACCCAAATTCACATATGACCTACTTGATGGCGTACAAAAACTTAGCTTTTGGTAAACACTTTTGAGTTTTAACCTTCCACTTTTATTTCTTCGCATCATTCAGGGTCTGTTTGAGGATTTTGGTTTTCCTAACAACCAGCAGAAGCAGCAGCAGCACATGCAGAACGTGCCCAACCCCTCATCCTCATCATCCTCATCATATTAGACCAATCAACTATGCTGTTGCCAAGTTTGGTTAAACAATGTATCAGATAAGCTCATCTGACTGTGCATGCCAACCCTACTGCCGGGGGTGTTTTGTCAGGTAAACAAAGGGTCTCTCAACTCTGCTTAGTCTTGGCCCTCGTTTCCAAAAAGATGATAATATCACCATCTATCTCTATCTGTGTATTGTTTTGACTCAAAGAAATGGATCTTCTTTTTTCTTTTGGGTCTGAAAAGAAAATGGATCCTTGCTTCCTTTTCGTGCTAGCTGTTTGGCAAAGAAAAACTTGGTGGGTCCACCAAAGCACCAAAAGTATGTAATCTTATTGGCTTTGTGGGGCCAACGCCATGTGGTGAGCAAATATACGTATTGTGCATGGTTTGGTTCTTTCCTATTCTTTTCGTTTATCTTCTTTTGCTCGCCCTTTTACCTATTGTTTTCTTCTTTCTTGGATGGCCATCATTCATTTGATTTGGGTCACATTTTCCTGTGGAAGTTTCTGTAATTATTATTATTTTTAAATCTGGTTTTGAAACTTTTAGCAAAAAACAATTTCTGGAACGTGATGTTTGGGTCAGGACTTGGTTGATTTGACCAGAAGTCCAGACTCAGAAAATTTACTGTTTCCGACTTCCAGTAGTAAATGGAAAGTTATTATATTTATTTATGTCCCAAAAGTTTTACATAAAAAGGGAAAAAAGACAGAATATAGCCCCAATGCATGATTTTCGAAACAAAGTTGAACAAAATAATCTGGACCATTTCCTTATCTATGCGTGTTGGCCTTGCCCATGAGTTATGCTAATTTGCTAGGGTTAGCTAAACCCTAATTTGCTGTGATGTTCCTCCTACTCTTTTTTGATACAAGTGGTATCGTTAAGAGTAGAAAATCAAACAAACGCCTTCCACTGCAGGTTAACTACCTAAGCTATAAACCCTTCGTGCAGATTTTCCTAATACCAGTTTTAGCTTTATGCACTTGATGCCATATATTTTATTTGGAAGTGCAATTACCAGATACACCTTCCTAATCCCCTATATTAGGAAATGTACCCTATAATGTAACCTATAAATACCCGAACGAACCCAATTGTTTACAGTATCTTGGCATTGTCAATTTAAACCTTCTCACATTTATTTTATTCTTATTTATTAAAAGAATATGTATAGTCTCCTTCTATTGAGGGACACCCTTTAGAGGGTAGATCATCCTTGCAAAAGATTAGAGAAATTGGAATCCATTTTGACGTCCAATTGTGTCTTATAAAATCAATGAACACGGTGCTTTAAGGAAGTACCAAAATTTCAATAATTCAATTGCGTGGTCAAAAAACATCGGATTCAAGTGATTTTTTGTCAAGGTGATCTTTGAATGAATATTTACAAAATAGACGGTTTGGATTAGTAAAATACAATACAGAGTGGGCTCTACAATGGTATCCCACAAATAAGCTTATTTGAGGACCTTTATTTGGGAGGCGGTGAAGGATTTATTATCAAATGTTCATCAATATATTCCATCAATTTTTCTCTGAACTTTTGTCCCGAACTGCTGATTTTCAGGAGCACTACTGTGTGGCTTATGCAATCAATGATGCCATGGTATGTCCACATATGACTGAAAGCCTGGAATATGCATCTGCAATTCATCACATATACGCTTTTTACAGTTTTTTTTTTTTTTTTTCATAATTATATTGTCATGTGATAGGGAGCCAAATAACTGGATTAATCTTTTTTGAATATGAACAAAACTTAGAACCCAAATTCACATATGACCTACTTGATGGCGTACAAAAACTTAGCTTTTGGTAAACACTTTTGAGTTTTAACCTTCCACTTTTATTTCTTCGCATCATTCAGGGTCTGTTTGAGGATTTTGGTTTTCCTAACAACCAGCAGAAGCAGCAGCAGCACATGCAGAACGTGCCCAACCCCTCATCCTCATCATCCTCATCATATTAGACCAATCAACTATGCTGTTGCCAAGTTTGGTTAAACAATGTATCAGATAAGCTCATCTGACTGTGCATGCCAACCCTACTGCCGGGGGTGTTTTGTCAGGTAAACAAAGGGTCTCTCAACTACTGCTTAGTCTTGGCCCTCGTTTCCAAAAAGATGATAATATCACCATCTATCTCTATCTGTGTATTGTTTTGACTCAAAGAAATGGATCTTCTTTTTTCTTTTGGGTCTGAAAAGAAAATGGATCCTTGCTTCCTTTTCGTGCTAGCTGTTTGGCAAAGAAAAACTTGGTGGGTCCACCAAAGCACCAAAAGTATGTAATCTTATTGGCTTTGTGGGGCCAACGCCATGTGGTGAGCAAATATACGTATTGTGCATGGTTTGGTTCTTTCCTATTCTTTTCGTTTATCTTCTTTTGCTCGCCCTTTTACCTATTGTTTTCTTCTTTCTTGGATGGCCATCATTCATTTGATTTGGGTCACATTTTCCTGTGGAAGTTTCTGTAATTATTATTATTTTATGTCGTTTTTTTTTTCTTTTTGCTAATAAAGGGGCAATTATTTATTGTTATTTTGTTGCAGCTTGCAATCTTTGAAGTCATGGTTTTGGCCTTGTTTATAGTTTGGGGGTTCTGTCTGTCACCAACTGTTTTAAAAAAGTCTGAGAAGATCTGTTACGATTTCGTACTTGGTTTCTATTTATAACTTAAAAAAGCATGCAGCTAGACTGCTTGGCGTGTGGATCAAATGTTGAAGCCTTGAAGCTAAGGGGCTTGGAGTGTTCACAGGTTTTTGTTTTTAGTCATAAGAATAGTTTCAGCACAAGAAGTTCAACTTTTCTTTATTCTCATGTGATGTCATGTCATGCCTTCTTTTGTTCATATAAAAATGAAATTTCATTAATTTAAACTGAGATGCAACAGAGAAGGTGAATAAACAAACATACATGGAAAGCTAACATGATCATAAACAAACAAAAATACAAGAGAAATACATGAGTCCGATAAATTCGAACATCCATCGCTGTTAATAATGGTCTAGATTCGTAAGGAACTTGTAGCTCAAGTAGTTAAAAGCACTTGCACACGAGATCTTAAGTTTGACTCATTTCTTACACGAGTAATGGTCTAGATTCACAGTCTGTAATTTGGCAGGAGGCGCTGTAAATTTCTTGGTAGGTCCTTAATGGGTACAACTTAATTGAAAGGAGTTTCGAACTTAGGACAAAGTGTATGCTGTCACAGAAATTGTATAACTATTAGGAGGCTCCACATTCCAGTTTGTTCAAAAAATATTTAGTGCCAAAGCCAAATTAGAATAAACTTTTCAGATTTTCAACAAATAAATAAAAATAATAAAGATGAAGAATATCTTGAAAGGAACATCCCTGCAATGTTAAGAAGAATCAGATACTCACTCACCTCAAAACCCAGAATAGGAGTGTTCCAGTGACTGGTTTCGAGCTTTCAACATGGCCTAAGCCTACCTTTTCCTCTTTCTTTCTTTTTTTCTTCTTGAATTTATAATAATAATTATTGTACTGATACAATGTGGGGCAGAAAAACCTTTCACACCGTTAAGTTTCAAATTTAACAGCAAGGGATCTAAAGCCAAACACACTTTTCTCATCAAAAATTGTTCTCAAAGAAAAAAAAGGTGATGGTTGGGTCCAGTGAGGCCATGGGGATACAAAGTTAGGAGAAAAAACAGTCACTTTAACCATTTTCAATCTCTCTCTCTTTTCCTTTCACACAGTCAAGTCTCCCTCTCATCTCTATATCCTTCACTTTTGTCAAAAAGGCTCCACTTATTGGGGAATATCTATGTATACATATGCTTCTCTGCCATTTTGATGCTTTGCAATTTGCAATATTTCTTTGAAAAGAGTATGATACAATGAGTGCATGACCACCATAGTGAATGTGAGGCCCCACAAAAAAAATTATAAAAAAAAAATGAGTAAAACCCAAGAATTGGGAAATGATGGAATGAATAACCAAAACTAGAACATGATGATTGAAATTTCAAGTGCACCTAACCAATTAATTGGTTCAATAATTTACAATGAGTGGTAGCTTCTCCCTTCAAGACTCATCATCCTCTCTATAGTTGCCAAGAACTTTGTAATTTTTGTCAGCATTGTTCATGCTTATAATTGCTAGGTAGTAAGAAAAAAGAAAAACTAAGATTAAAATATGAATGTGATGGTTTGGGCATTTCTATCCTCATGTAATATTTGGATTCGACTTGTCACCATTTTGAAATTGGGATGGAGCATAAGTCAAACTTGTAAATCCAGCTGAAAAATTTAGACATCTTTTCAAGAATTCTTGGACAAGACCTATTTCAGATAGTTGCTTTGGAATAATATAAATTAATTTATATTTATCAAAAAATAGAGAATGGTAAAACATTCAAAATACTAAAAAATACCATTGGTTAATGCAAACCTTGGATTGGACTTGTCAACATTGATTTTGAAATTGAGATGGGAGAGAAACTCTCATGTAATGGGATAACACTTTTTGCTATCCCCGATTAATAACGCAATGACACGTAAGATAACTTTTCCACGTATTGTTGTGTTATTGTTGAAGATAACAAAACAATGCTATCCCCTTTACAAGTAAGTTTTTTAAATTAAAATTGAGTACAAGTCAAACTTGTAAATCTAGCTGAAAAATTTAGACATCTTTTTAAGAATTTATGGACAAGACCTATTTCAGATATTTGCTTTGGAATAATGTAGATTAATTCATATTTAGCAGATATTTGCTTTGGAATAATGTAGATTAATTCATATTTAGCAAGACAAACTTGATATTCGTTTATATAAAGGGTGTTGTATAATTTTTTAAAAATTTTTGTATTTAACAAATATAAGTAAGTTAGGTTTGTTGATCAGGGCAGTGTATTCATCCATTTCACATGACCCTTTACAGTAAATTAGAGTAACAATATAAACTATTGCTAGTATTTAAAAACAAATTTCAAACTCTCATAAGAGAAAATGGAAAATAGCTTTAAGTCAAGCATATATTAAAGGTTGAAGGAACTTTGTCATTTAGTGAAGGAAAAATGCAAGAACACAGAAATCAATTAGCAACGAAATTCCAACACCAAGCCAACCAGGCACAGCCTACTAGTGACTCAGTTGGACCTTAAAATCAACTAAATGGGCCCACACAATTTTGGCGAAGATCCACCCTGTCTTCACCTTCACCTTCCAAACCCCAAGCCCCGAGGACTCCACAAAAGCACCAAAAGCCAACCTTCTGCAAACACTAATTAAATTAATCAACATTAACTAAACAAACATTACCATAATTAATTACTAGTTACTCTGCACGCACTTTTGCGTATGTGAGAGGCTTTTTTTAAAAAATAAATAAATTTATTTTAGAATTTAAAAAGATAATGGGTAGTTATATTACATAAAAATAGGATTCATTATTTGATTTTTTTTAATATTAAAAAGTGTGAATTTACCATATTATCCTCATTTAATTAATAATTTCAATTCTTAATATTTGCATTAACCAATGACACTTTTTGGTATTTTGAATGTTTTACCATTCTCTGCCTTTTGCTTTATATATATAGATAATTAAAAATCAACTACCCTATCTTTACATTGTAATTAAACTTTTAATTTTGATCATATAAGCAAATAAAAAATCCATCTAATAAATAATCAAGGTCGTCCCATTTCGGATAATTCTGATTTGGCCTTTTGTTTTTAGTAAATTTTTACAAATGCAAAATATGAAAAAAAAAAAAAATGGTCACATGTTACTCTCAATTTTCCTTGATGTAGAGGGCAGAGAAAGATTATAGTAAAAGTATTAGGGAATTTTTTTTTTTTGGTGAAAAGTATTAGGGATTTTTTTTTTTGGTGAACAAAATGGTGGCAAGTGTGCAACCACTCCGAGCCGGGGAGGGGTTAAGGTTAAAGCTCTCCCCCTGGGGTTAAGGTTAGTTCCTCCTACCGGAAGGAAAGTAGGCTACTCGATTAATTTGACTCAACTTACTCTTTTGTAATAGAAAAAAACCCACTTACTCCTACTATATTAAAGAAAATTTGTCACTAACAACAGGAAAGAATTCATGATTAAATTAATTATATTGATTGAAAGGATTATACAATTTGCAATTGGAATTGCATGACTAATCCGACAAAGAAACATTTTTGAATAGATTTATTTGCCAACCTTTTGTTATAAATATTTTATTACTAACCCCTACTTTCTGTTTTGTAAAAATAGAAAACTCACTTTACTCTTTTACTTAAAATAAAATAAATAAAAAACCCACTAAGTTGTCCCCAATAGGCAACAAACAACAGTCCAAAGCTTAACAACTATAACTTCTTCTGCTTTCACAGTCTCAGCATCGCTCTCTCTCACTCTCTCTCTCTCTCTCTCTAATTCACACCCGCAAACACACAGAGAGCTCAAACCAGTGGTTTCCACCACTTGGGTTTTGCTTCTCTTCTCATTCTTGATATCTCAAGTATTTAAATTTAAAATTTTTATTTTTATTATTATTATTATCAACATTGTCGTAAATTATGGGGTGCACGGCGTCGAAATTGGACAACGAGGACACGGTGAGGCGGTGCAAGGAGCGGCGCCGCCTCATGAAAGACGCCGTCTACGCTCGCCACCACTTGGCCGCCGCCCACGCCGACTACTGCCGCTCCCTCCGCCTCACCGGCGCCGCCCTCGTCTCCTTCTCCGCCTTCGAGCCCCTCGACATCTCCCACCAAACCCCCGCCGTCTTCCTCCACCACCATCCCTCTCCCCCTCCAACCAATCCCCTCCCTCCACGTGTCCCCCCGTCCCCCATACCCTCCTCCCTCCACCCTCCACCTCCGCCACCCCCTCTCTCTCCCACCACCAACAGCTCCAACCTCCCACACATTCTCTCCGCTTCTTCCCGCTCCTCCTCCACCGCCACGCGCCAACAGCGCCGGCGCCGTCCGTCGGGGCCGAAGCTCCCTCACATACTGTCGGAATCGAGCCTTGCTTCTTCCCCGCGAAGCCCGAAATCGAATTTCAATAACCCCTTTGGGTTTCCATCGGCTTTTCAAGCGGACTCGACATACTCGAGCACGCCCTCTCAGGCCTCGTCCATGTGGAACTGGGAAAATTTCTACCCTCCTTCGCCTCCAGACTCTGAGTTCTTCGAGCGCAAAAAAGCACAATCCCAATCCCACCAATCTAATCACCAACAACAATCCCCTGACCCAGAAGATTTCGACGACGACAATACAGAGACAGAGGCCGAAGAAGCCGAGCCCGAGACCGAAACCGAGAGATCGGAGTACGATTTCTTCCTCAACCATCCAAACCCGAAAGCCGAGAACACCCATCACCAGAAAAGGCAC